TAGAGGGGAAGGGAAGAAGGGAGAGAAATATCAATGTGTGGTTGCTTCTGGTGCACCCCCTGCTGGGAACTGGCCCCTGCTGGGAACTGGCCTGCAACCCACGAATGTGCCCTGACTGGGAATCGAACTGCGGTCATCTGGTTCGCAGGCCCGCACTCAATCTACTGAGCTACACCAGCCAGGGCCTGCACTCTTTAATTCTAGAATTCGTTTGGTTCATTTTCAGTTTTCAAGTTGTTGAACATACTTACTATAGCCTCTTTAGAGTCTTTATGTGCTAATTCCCACAGCCGTATCCTCTCATGGTTGTATTCTGTTTGCTCCTTTTTTTTTTCTTGACTATGGGTCCCATTTATCTACTTCTCAGGTATACAAGTTTTTGTTGTTTTTAAGATTTATTTATTTATTTATTTATGGGCAGAGGGGAAGGGAGGGAGAAACTTCACTGTGTGGTACCTCTTGTGTGCCCCCCACCAGGGATCTGGCCTGCAACCCAGGCATGTGCATTGACTGGGAATCAAACTGGTGACCCTTTGGTTTACAGGCCAGCACTCAATCCACTGAGCCACAGCAGCCAGGACTTTTTTTTATATTAGTATATAGCAGGCAATATAAATGACACATAGGAAAGACTATGGTTTTTTTTATCTTCCACCGATTAACTTTCTGGCTGGTAATTGTGACTTCATAGAGTCTGGTTTTGCATCCATTAGGGCAAGTATGTTTTGATTTTGCACTGAGTCCTAAGACTTATTCTTTATGCAGGGTCTTTCAAGTTTTCATTGGAAAGTTTGAGGTGCTTATTAAGCCCCTCTAATTTAGTAGGAATCAAATTATAAACTGTGTCTTCCCTCATAGGCAGCAGTTAGATCTCTGCCCAGATCTTTCAGCCTTACAACTGTTACTTTCCATTGGAATCCTTGGAGTCTCCCACTCGTGTATGTAGCTTAGGGGATTAGCCATGGATTTGAGGGGAGTTTATATGCATGTTTTGATGCTTTTTCCCTCCCCCATGGCTTTTTCTATTTTCTATGATTTCTCTTCTCAATTTCCAGCCAGTGTGGTAGCCCTGAGCTCTATCCTCTGACATCGCAGGCCAATAGACTGTGGCTTTCTAATTGAATTTTAGTCACCCTGTACCAAGTGGACTGGTGAGTCGTACCCTTAGGGAACAAGCACATAAACATGGACCTTACCCAGCATGGTTATCCTTTCAAAGTCAGTCAGTTTTTCCCACTAGTTTCTACCTCCTGCCTTTAAGTAGTTATGTTTAAATCTTTTTCTATGGCCCTGGCTGAGGGCTGGAGCATCGTCCTGTATGCAAAAAGGTTGTGGGTTCAATTCCTTGTCAGGACACATACCTAGGTTGCAGGTTCAATTCCCAGCTGGGGCATGTATAGGAGGAAGCAACTGATCGCTGTTTCTCTCTTACATAAATGTTTCTCTCCCTCCCTCTCCCTCCCTCTCCCTCCCTCTCCCTCCCTCTCCCGCCCTCTCCCGCCCTCTCCCTCCCTCTCCCTCCCTCTCCCTCCCTCTCCCTCCCTCTCCCTCCCTCTCCCTCCCTCTCCCTCCCTCTCCCTCCCTCTCCCTCCCTCCCTCTCCCTCCCTCTCCCTCCCTCCCTCTCCCTCCCTCCCTCTCCCTCCCTCTCCCGCCCTCTCCCTCCCTCTCCCTCCCTCTCCCTCCCTCTCCCTCCCGCCCTCTCCCGCCCTCTCCCGCCCTCTCCCGCCCTCTCCCTCCCTCTCCCTCCCTCTCCCTCCCTCCCTCTCCCTCCCTCTCCCTCCCCCTCCCTCCCTCTCCCTCCCGCCCTCTCCCGCCCCTCTCCCGCCCTCTCCCTCCCTCCCTCTCCCGCCCTCTCCCTCCCTCTCCCTCCCTCTCCCTCCCTCTCCCTCCCTCTCCCTCCCTCTCCCTCCCTCCCTCTCCCGCCCTCTCCCGCCCTCTCCCGCCCTCTCCCTCCCTCCCTCTCCCTCCCTCTCTCTCCCTCTCCCTCCCTCCCTCTCCCGCCCTCTCCCACCCTCTCCCTCCCTCCCTCTCTCTCCCTCTCTCTCCCTCTCTCTCCCTCCCCACCCCTTTCTCTTTCTAAAATCAATAAAGATATCCTCAGGTGAGGAAACTTTTCTTAAAAAAATATTTTTTCTATGGTTTACAATTTTATCTCAAAGAGGTTAATTTCATGCAGACATTTCTACCATTATTGGAACTAGAATTCTTTGGCTTAAAGTTTTATTTTGTTCAATATACCAATTATTGCATAATGTTTTTTTCAAAACAGGGTAAGTTTAGTTTAAAAAAATTGTGAGTTGTCTGTACATGAATAGTAAACGTGGTATTAGTAGTTGCAAAAGAAGTACTAAACCCTGAGCCCAGAATATAAATGTGTCAGCAACTCTATACATTATGTCAAATGAACCAACTTACTCTTTTAAAATACGTGAATAAGCCCTGGCTGGTGTAGCTCAGTGGATTGAATGCGGGCCTGCGAACCAAAGGGTCGCCAATTTGATTCCCAGTCAGGACACATGCCTGGGTTGCAGACTAGGTCCCCAGGTGGGGACCACATATTGAAGTTTTTCTCCCTCTCTTTCTCCTTCCCTTCCCCTCTCTCAGATAAATAAATAAATAAATATTTTAAAAATGTGTTTTGAAATAATTTCAAGTTAAATGATGTAAGAATAAAACAGTTACGTGGGTTTATTTTTGAAAGTTTAACTTGTTTAAATGAAAAAAAACAATTTTATAATATCTTTTTCTGTTTTTTAAATTTTATTTTTGTCTACCTCTTTCCAAAGAATGGTAATTGGCCAAATATGAATTATTTAAAATATATGCAACCATTGCTGATAAAAAGTAAATGAATAAATAAGTAAATTGGTGAAAAAGTCATAGCTCTTCCTGACAGAAAAATTAAAGTTAATAAATATAAAAGGAAAGGGATATATTTAAAAATGACCAACAGAACTCCATAGTACATATTACCATAGGCAAGATTCAGCAATACATGCTAAAATTAGTGGGCAAAGCTGAAGCAGAAAAAGAATGTTTGCATAGTCTCAAAGTATTTCCCCCAATATTTAGTAATTCCTAAAGGAAGAAATAGTAAGCCTATAATTGAGAGTCTGGGCAGATGCAATCTTAGGCAAGCCATCAAGGTTAACATCACCAGAAGCATTCCTCAAAAACGTCCTGACTTGATACATTGAGATGAGCATCACCACTGTGTTATCCTTCCTAGTAATGAATAACCTCAATCTGATCATGAGAAAACCTGAGACAGACCCAAGATTAATCAGCACTCTTTAAATGCGGCAGTCATGAAAGATGAGAAATTCTAACAGATTAGAGGAGACCAGGAGACAGGATCACTGCATGCAGTATGGGATCTGGGACTAGATCTTAAAGAGGAAAGGGGCATTCATTGGGGGGGAAGCGGGGACACTCAAGTTCTTTATATTGTGCCGCATTGATTCCTTAGTTTTGATAAATATTCTGTAGTTGTGTAAGACATTCGTTCATGTAAGGGAAAGTTGGATGAAGGATATCCAGGAACTCATACCTATTTTTGCACCTGTTCTGTACGTCTAGAATTTTTTTATGAATGCATTTTTTCCTATTGTTAGTTTTAGAAAACCCCCTGTGTCTTCAGACTTTTCTCTTCAGTTTCAACATACACATTTATACCAGTAATTCTGAGTGTTTCCAGACTAGCAGCATCAACATCAACTGACGGCTTGTTAAAAGTGCACATTCTCCACATCTCTGGGATGGGGCCCAGCAATCTTCATCTTTACAAGCCCTCCAGGTGATTTCAATGCATGCTGAAGTTTGAGGACCATGATTTGTACCATCGGTAAAAACTTAATACTAAAGGGAAACACTTTTATTAATATATTGGCCAGTTAATAATATTTGTTTTCCATAAAGTATAGCCAGTTTTGTTTTTAATTGTGGTAAAATACATGTAACATATTAGTCATCTAAAAATGTATAATTCATTGGTATTAAATATGATATATTCACATTGTTGTGTAACCGTCACCACAATCTATCCCCATAACTCTTTCCACCTTATGAAATGGGAGCCCTGGACCTGTGAAGCAAGTAACTCCCCATTCTCCTCCTCTCCCAGTTCCTGGCAACCACTTTTCTACTTCAGTCTCTCTGATTTTAACCACTCTAAATATATAAGTTGAACCATACAGTATTTATCTTTTGTGTTGGGCTTATTCCACTTAGCATAATGTCCTCAAGTCTCATTGATGGTGTAATACATGTCATAATTTCTCATCCTTTTTAAGCCTGAATACTGTTCCATTGTTTGTACATGCCACATTTTGCTTATCCTGTAACCCATCAATGAACACTTGGGTTGCTTCCACAGTCAGCTTTCGTCATACACAATATACAAGTATATAACTTCAGTACCGTTTTCAGTTCTTTAGGGTATATACCCAGAAGTGGAATTGTTGGATCATATGGTGATTCTATTTTTAATTGTTTACCACCATTGTTTTCCAGAGTGGCTGTACCATTTTGCATTTCCACTGATGGTGCACAGGGGTTCCGATTTCTTCATATTCTCACCAACATTTGTTTTCTCGTTTTTGTTGTTATTGTTTTTACTAATACCCTAATGGGTGTGAAGTGGTATCTTATTATAGTTTTGATTTGTATTGCTCTAATTATTAGTGATGTTGACCATCTGCTTGTTGGCCATTTGTATGGTCCTTTTCCTGTTTTTGAATAATTAGTACCCCCACCTTTGATTCATTCAGTGTACCACTGCTGTTCATATATTTGTTCATAGGCACATCAGTGGCTTTTGTGGACTTTCACTTTCTTTGCTTTCTGCTGTCTAACTTGTCCCTCAGGGCTCATAAATCTGGAATTTACATATAGAATCTACTTATGTGTTGATTTTGAGGAATAAGGCAGAATTTAAAAACTATGTATGATAGATAGTACTTTAATAATTAAACCTGTTTCCAAAAAATTGTCTTTACAGACTTATAACAGCTGTGCCAGAATCTGCTTAAACCAAGAAACAGTATGTCTAGCAAGCACTGCTATGAAGACTGAAAATTGTGTGGCCAAAGTAAGTATTATTACTCATTGTATATTATACCACATCGTAATGATGCTTTATCTATAGACATCTTCATTCACTATTGCTATTACAGACTCTTCAGGACTTTATATTTAAAAAAGATTATAGCAGGCATCATTTTATCCAAAAATTAGACCGCAAGTTGGGCTCTCCATCTCTTCAATTACAACAGAATTTTCTGATTACGTATTCTGGTCACACTTTGTTCTAAATCACATTTGTTTCTTGATACTAGTTACGGATTATTACAAACAAGGTTTATGTAAAAAAATGTACAATTATTTTTCTAAGTTCATGATTTTTAAATGTAATTAAGTATAGTGTACACCATTGCAAAGGTTATGAAACATGCTACAGAAAATCCAATTATTAAATCACTATTATGATTTATTAAGTGGCTTAATGATAGGAATATTCCTTTTGGTGATCTTGATTTGCGTGGACAAGTATATTGAAATCATGTATATGAGGTACCTCTTTTTTTAATATATTTTATTGATTATGCCATTACAGTTGTTCTGTTTCCCCCCTTCATTCCCCTCTACCCTGCACACCCCCTCCCCCACCATTCCCCCCTTTAGTGTATGACCAAGTGTCTCAAGTTCTTTAGATTCTATATTTCCCCTACTATTCTTGCCCTCCCCCTATCTATTTTCTGCCTACCGCCTGTGCTACTTATTTTCTGTACCTTCTCCCCCCTTCTCCTTCTCCTACTCCCCTGTTGCTAACCCTTCACGTTATCTTCATTTCTATGGTTCTGCTCCTGATCTAGCTGTCCTCTTAGTTTGCTTTTGTTTTAGGTGTGGTTCTTAATAACTGTGAGTTTACTGTCCTTTCACTGTTCATCTTTTTTATCTTCTTTTTCTTTGATAAGTCCCTTTAACATTTCATATAATAAGGGCTTGGTGATGATGAATTCATTGAATTTGATCTTATCTGAAGCACTTTATCTGCCCTTCCATTCTAAATGAAAGCTTTGCTGGATAGATCAATCCTGGATGTAGGTCTTTGAATTTCATGACTTGGAATACTTCTTTCCAGCCCCTTCTTGCCTGGAAGGTCTCTTTTGAGAAATCCGCTGACAGTCTGATGGGAACTCTTTTGTAGGTGACTGTCCCCTTATCTCTTGTTGCTTCTAGGATTCTCTCCTTCATTTTAATCTTGGCTAATGTAATGATGATGTGCCTTGGTGTGTTTCTTCTTGGGTCCAACTTCTTTGGGACTCTCTGAGCTTCCTGGATTTCCTGGAAGTCTATTTCCTTAGCCAGATTGGGGAAATTCTCCTTTATTATTTGTTCAAATAAGTTTCCCACTCATGGCTGTTCCTCTTCCCGTTCTGGTACCCCTATAATTCGGATGTTGGAACGTTTAAAGATGTCCTCAAGGTTCCTAAGCCTCTCCTCATTTTTTGGAATTCTTGTTTCTTCATCCTTTTCTGTTTGGTCTTTTTTTTTCCTCTTTCTGGTCTATTCCTTTGATTTGAGTCCCAGTTTCCTTTCCATTACTATTGGTTTCCTGTGCGTTTCCCTTCATTTCAATTAGTTTAGTCTTCATATGTTCCTCTAATTTGTGACTAAAATCAACCAGTTTTGTGTGCATCCTGATCACCAGTGTTTTGAACTGTGCATCTGAAAGCTTGGCTTAGATTTATCGGCTCTGGGGCTCTAAGTTGTTCTTGAGTCATGTTTTGATCTGTTCGTGCCTATTACATAGGAGGAGCAGAGCCTTAAGTGTCCACCTGGGCGGGGCTACCCAGGTCTCTGGTTTGTGACACTATGTGTGGGGGCGGGGTCAGAGAGGGACAATGGCGGTCCCCTCTGCCACTTCCCACCACCGGGTCCTGCACGGTCTGTCTCACTGCTCACTCCTTCACCAGTTTATCTGTGCGCGAATGTGTGACCATGGTCAGCCCTCAGTGAGTCCACCACCTTTCACCCTCAGTGGGTCTGCCCGCTACTGCACACCTGGGATCCTCCCACAGCTGCCGGCGTGCCTGGGTTGCATGCCCAGGTCAGTCCAGTGGATCTTTCCTGCCCAACCCCGCTCTGCTGCTGGCTCTGCCCCTCTTACTGGTTTGGCTGAAGGGTTCATTGTTGTCAGACTTCTGTATAGTTCAATTTTCTGTGGTTTGGCTGCGTTTTTGTTGCTAAAACTTTGTTGTTTTTTAACTTGGTTGTGTGAGAAGGCACAGTGCTTCCACCTATGCCTTCATCTTGGCAGAAGTGAGGTACCTCTTTCTTATGTATAAATGTGTGCCATATCTGTAGCCTAGATTTAAAAAATCTTATATGTTAGAGAATCTTACAATCTAATAATTTTATCAACTATGACTCAAATTTTGTAAGTATCTCAAAGTAATCAGCAGCTTTGAACTACATTCAGGTATCAACCATTTTGATTATTCCAAGAGTAAGAAAAATTCTACTGTGGGCTCTGTTTTTAGACTTTGACTTTGCATATCTGCAAAATGACTACCTTCAGTAACTATTTTGTCACTGTCACAATGTTTTCTGCTTAGTAACTAGTTTAAGTTTAATCTATTGTATTATATACTTAGCCTTCAATTACTTACTGTTATTATTAGAACTAGGGCTGGTATCATGTAGTCTTCATTCTTTGCTACAAAAATCAAAGGACAGTGGTATTTTTTATTATTTTTATTTTATTTCTTAAGACATGCAGTGGTTTCTAGATCTACTTTATCAACTGAAAATATATCATAGGGAACATGATGTATGATATATTTTCATATATTCACTCAATGGAAATGATCCATATAAGAAATATCAGGATTTATTAAGAATTATAGTTTAAAAAGATAATCATTTACATGTCTCTTAAATTAGAATGTCTTAATGATTTGCTGTAAAATATGAATATTATAAATTATATATTACATTTTTCAGTTATTAAGTTACAACCAGCAAGTACTGATTGGCCGTATTTTATATCCAGCATTTGTACATTGAGATGGGGGACCAATTATTTGGGCATTTAAAACTAATCTGTCTTCTTTTTGGCCATGCCGCTCTTAGTGTCATCACAAATGGGTGACTTCTGGCTAAACAAAGTAAAATCTTAACATGAGCACATACCCAAGGACAGGATGACGATTTTAATGAATTTCATTGAGAGCTGGCCAAGTGAGCAGCTGTTCCTTTTGTCTTTTTAATACTTTGTAAGCCAGGATCTCTAAGCTACATAGTTATGTTGGTGTATGTCTGGTGTATGATGTGGTAGTTTTGGGTTTTTTTTTCCTCTCTCACCCTCTACTTCTGTGGTGCGTTAGAAATCTCCTGGCATCTGGCACAATGGTATAATTTCCATTGTGGCATAATTTCTTCTGTGCTCTTGGGTGAGGAAGTTTGCTCATTGCTGCTAATCAGTCTGTTTCCCTTGCTCCCAGATGGTGACCCTCTCGTCCCTTTCTTGCTTATTTTAACATTATTCTGACATCTCTACCCTTTCCTTGATTTCTTAAATACCCTAATTTAATAATGATTTCTATCATTTTCTGTTGGAACCCACCTAACTTTCTGGTTCCTTTTATTGGCCTACAGCCTGTCTTCTGGTTAATTTCTTCAGAGCTGAGCCAAATAAACAGTTGATCAATGGCAAATAAAAAACACGTAGCTAAGTTTTTCTTTCTTGCAACAGCCTTCCGTAGGGTACCCATAACATGGGGTTAGGAAAATAATTTTGCCTTTTTCATTTACATGTGTTAGTATATCTCATGATTCTGTGCTGTTTCTCTTGGCCTTATTTATTGCCTGACCTTTGAAAGATAATGACTTGCTACTATTTTTGTAGGTGTGCAAGCTTGTCCCTGTTTCCTGCTCTTCACCTTTAGCCCTTAACTGAACAGTTTCATCTTGCTACACTTGATATGGCTGCATTGGTTTTTAACTTGGTACAAGTGTCTATTAATGATTCAGACTGTACTCTACAGTGGCCTTGAATGTCCAGCCATCTCCATGTGGGAGCAACTATAGTATAGTGATATCAACTGTTTTTGGCTCTAGTTCAAAGCAGTCAGTTCTGGTTGGAGTGACTTTGGTTTGGGTGGCGATAATGAAGTCTAAAACCTTACTATTAAGTACTGTTTATATGTGCTTTAGAGAAAAGTTTTAATGCCAGTTATTCCCTTAAACATAGTGATGTCGTTGTGTTTGGACCCCTACAGCTACATTGTATGTGACTCTTTGTTGCCAGAAATATCTTACAGTAAGTGCTTTACAATAAGCCTATGCAAAGGGACCCCATTACTCTTATTTCAAATACAAGAAAACAAAATTGTTAGACAAACTACAGTCACCCTAGGTTAATAATAATCTTCTGAGCCTCTAACTTGAAGAGTGAGGACTAAAACAAGATTTAAAAATTAAAACAACCTGGCTGGTGTAGCTCAGTGGATTGAGCATGGGCCTGTGAACCCACACATTCGTGGTTCGATTCCCAGTCAGGGCACATGCCTGGGTTGCAGGCCAGTTCCCAGCAGGGGACTCATGAGAGGCAACCATACATTAATATTTCTCTCCTCCTTCCCTTCTTCTCTAAAGATAAATAAATAAAATCTTTGGGGGAAAAAAAGAGTTTACAGAAACAAGCACTTAAAAAAGTTAAAACCGAGGAAGGATCATTTTGTCAGTGTTAACTTAATTCAAGTAATATTTGGAGGCACTGAAATGTCTTATTTTCTCCTAAAGCCTTCCTTCTTAGTAATTATAGCCCTGTATTTCATGAAATTTGTGTTTAAACATGATGAGCTTTGTATTTATTGTTGCTTTAAATGGACAGTCATTATTGACTGCCAACTTAATCTTTAAAATCAATAATTACATTGTACCTAATTGTCAACCTTCATGATGTTTTTTATTGGTAAAGAAAACTAATGGAAAACGAAGGGCATTGATTCTTTATTTTTTAATTGACTTTATTTAAGTATTACTGAAAAGTTTGGTTTCAGGTTTTCCCCTAATTTACTCATA